ACTCACTGATCCACACCACTAGGATCTACAGCCAGGACATCGGAATGTCATTCGGACTGGATAAGTGTGGTCGAATGGTAACAAGGAGAGGAAAGGTAGTCAGAACTGAGGGCTGTACTACTGGAAGGAAACATAGCAGATGTTGAGGACAGCTACAAGTACCTTGGGATCCTGCAGGCAAATGGTAACCATGAAGAGGCCGCAAGGAAATCACAAACCACCAAGTATCTGCAGAGAGTAAGGCAAATCCTGAGAAGTCAGCTGAATGGGAAGAACAAAGTCCAGGAGATTAACACCTACACCCTGCCAGTCATCAGGTACCCCGCTGGCATAATAAGCTGGCCAAAGGAGGAGATAGAGGCCACTGACATCAAGACAAGGGAGCTCCTTACAATGCACGGCAGGTTTCACCCCAAGTCCAGCATCCTGAGACTGTACACTCGGCCGAGGATTAGTGAGCGTCACAGCCACTATCCAGGATGAAACAACAAAAATCCATGAATACATCAGGAAGATGGCCCCAAGTGATGACATGCTTAGTGAACATGTCAGGCAGCAGAAACCAGAGGAACCAGTCTCTAAGTACAAGAGCAATATAGTCCGGGGTCTACCATACCAGACTGGACCCCAGGTAGAAGCTGTGCAAAGATACCCCTGAGGCAATCCAGCACAGGACAGCGGGCTGCAAGATGCTAGCAGGCAGGGCATACATGGAACGCCATAACCAAGTGGCTGGCATAGTGTACAGAAACATCTGTGCCGAGTACAGGCTGGAAGTCCCAAAGTCAAAATGGGATACACCTCCAAAGGTGGTTGAGAATGACCAAGCTAAGATCCTGTGGGACTTCAAGATACAAACTGACAAACTGGTAATGGCCAACCAACCGGACATAGTAGTGGTGGACAAACAGAAGAAGGCCGTAGTGATAGATGTAGCAATCCCAAGCGATAGCAACAACAGGAAGAAGGAACACGAGAAGCTCGAGAAATACCAAGGGCTGATAGAAAAGCTAGAAAAGATGTGGAAGGGGAAGGCACAAGTGGTCCCCC